GGTGACCGATTCAGGGCACGGAATTGAGCTCTGGCTCTGAGCTGCGCTTTGGAGGAGGAGCGGGTTTGTGTCTCTCCCCTGCGTGGATGGTGAGCTCAGGGATATTTCACGCTTAAGGAACCTGAAGTTAAGCCAAAGAATGTCGACTGAGTGCAAACCACTGCTCAAGCCTTCGGAACATCCTGGCTATATTCATTTAGGAAAAGAAGTATTTTAGCTGAGCAACCCCTACGCTAGGTGAAAGGAGAGGATTACAGGCTTTTGCTGCTTCAAATCAACATTGAAAGGTCATTTGAAGTGTGGGCCTTAAGATGAGATATGTCTGCATTTCTTTTCTGAACAGGACAAAAATTTTGTGCCTGCTCCCAGAATGAGAAGGAGCACAGGAATTCCGAGGAGTTTCCTGATTGAGCTGAAAGATCCCAACACAAAGGGCGCGATGCTGACAAAGACGGGAAAATACGCAATACCAATTATTAATGCGTACGTATGGCCTTAAGTGGACTGACCAAAAGGAGAAAAACCACGCGTAGATGTCTGAGTGGTAATGCAACCATGTTGGCCGGCATCTGTGATTACGAGGGAGGAAGCATTGTCGTCGTATCTTCACCTTAAAATCTGTGATACTTTCTAGTATTAAAATCGCGGGATCCTGCCCCTGGAACTTGGGTCAGCTTATGGCATTTCTGTATTTCTGCAAAACATTTCAGTAGTGTTGACAGTGGGAGTCGTTCTCTTGGAAAGCTCATTTTGCTTCTGGTTTATGTTTCAAAGGCTTCTTGCAAAATTTAACAAGTGGCTGTTGCACTGAGGTTTCCGCCCCCTCTGACTTTGAGCAAATCCCACATGTGAAAGAGACAAAAGTTCTCCTCTTGCTCTAAACTAAGAAAATACTACTACTGTGTACTGACAGGAGTGGCTGTTTTAAAAAGCACTTGGTAGCACTTCTGCTTTTCTGTCGTGGATCTCCTTGGGTGGAAGCTGTAACACAGACTTCCTTTGTTTATAAAATGTAATTACTCAGAGACTAACTTTATTGTGAGCCTGCAATTTACTCTTACCCCCTGGCAAAAGAGAGGTGGGATTCATTTCACCTGCTCTCTAGCTGTCAAAAAATCATTTTTCTTGTCCGAGCTAATTTCTTAGTAGATCCAATAAATGGGAGAGTTCTGCAGAAGGAAAATTGTTCCCCCTCTCCCTTCTAGTCTTGTGGCTATCGAAAAGTAGTTGAAACTGAATGCTGACATTTTAGAAGGCTGATGTGGAGTGAGAAGAATTCCATCTATTACCTTCCTTTGATAAAATCCACAGCTTGGAGAAGTTTTCCTTTACCCACCTTTAACTTTTTTCCGTTTCCTTGCCCCCCCACCACCACCCCCTGCCTGCAGGGAAGCTTACGCCAGAGGCAAGAAGGAGAAGCCTCCCTTTGTGCCAGAGGAGCTGCCCTCCTCCTCCTCCTCCTCCGATGCCCTTCCAGATGAGCAGCTGTGCCTCATCTGCAAAGACGCAATGACTGATGCAGCCGTTACTCCCTGCTGCGGCAGCAGTTACTGTGACGAGTGTGAGTGTTACTGCCTTGTTGTTAGCTCAGTACATCGCGTCTGATCTTCTGAGAGCGGAACGAGGAGATAACAACTTGGTTACCAGTTCTATTTGATACTTAGGGATACCCTGAGTCGGG